GGGATTTTCCTGGTTTGAAGAACCTTATCTTCTGTGGGGTGAGTTCAAAGAGTGACTGTGCTGTGAGGAAGATCATGTTACAAAGCCAGAGTGGGGGAAAGTGACAAATTACACTTCTGAGTGGCTCAGGGTATCAAAAGCTGGAAGAACAAAGGAAATAACCTGACTGAAACAAGTGAATCTTTAAAAGCTCCAACCTAGCTGACACTTTTTGGAAACAGAAAGAATAATTGCAGACTTAAACCAGGCTCTTCTAACAATGGCTGTCACCAGTGAGAAGCCAGAAAGTTGGTTTAGTTCTTACAATAACTGGTTCTGATGCACTTCGCATTATCAATACTTTCCTGCTAGATCAGGCAAGGGGACTTAACTAAGAAACTGTATTGCAGATGCTAAATAAAGTTGTACTCCACCTACAACTGAAAATTTAAAAACTGCAAACATATATCCTTGAAAAGAGACCTAATCATTTGTACCACAAATACAGAATCTGAACTTCTGAGTTAAAAAAAAAAATGATGCTCTCAGACAAAAATTGTAGAATGATAGTAATGAAAGACTGTATCTACTCTTGACCAGATAGATTTGCAATTAAAGAGCATTTTGCACTTCAGAGTGACACTAGGAACATTAAGAAGGATATAAAACCTCTTAAGAGTAATACTGTATGTGGAGCTCAAAACCAGATACATAAAAACAGCATTTTGTAAGCAATAGAATCAATGCCCACTGTTCGGAAAGAGAAGCATGGACTGCAGGAGTTGAATTGCTGTGAAGCAGTTCACAAGTGCTAGCAGAGATTTTATCTCCTAGCATTTACCTGTTTCATAACAGCATGTCACTAGTTAATTTTGTTTAAGTTTATCATTACCTTCTAGATGCTTTTCAGCAGTATTGAAATGTAGCTAGTTGTTCTCCAGCCTGTGTTTGTACAGCTGATTACTGCTGCCTAAATGTGGCAAAAGACTGGCAATAGCACTGCGTTTTTCACAGAATCACAGAATCGTCTAGATTGGAAAAGACTTCCAAGATCACCTAGACCAATCCCTGACCTAACACTAACCAGTCCTCCACTAAGCCATATCACTAAGCTCTACATCTAAACGTCTGTTAAAGACCTCCAGGGATGGTGAACTCCACCACTTCCCTGGGCAGCCCATTCCAATGCCTCACAACCCTCTCAGTAAAGAAGTTCTTCCTAATATCCAACCTAAACCTCACCTGGCACAACTTTTAGCCCATTCCCCCTCATCCTGTCACCAGGCACGTGGGAGAATAGACCAACCCCCACCTTCCTACAGCCTCCTTTAAGGTACCTGTAGAGAGCAATAAGGTCGCCCCTGAGCCTCCTCTTCTCCAGGCTGAACAAGCCCAGCTCCTTCAGCCGCTCCTCGTAGGACTTGTTCTCCAGGCCCCTCACCAGCTTCGTCACCCTTCTCTGGACTCGCTCGAGCACCTCGATGTCCTTCTTGTAGCAAGGGGCCCAAAACTGAACACAGTACTCGAGGTGCGGCCTCACCAGAGCCGAGTACAGGGGGACGATCACTTCCCTAGCCCTGCTGGTCACACTGCTTCTTATGCAAGCCAGGATGCCGTTGGCCTTCTTGGCCACCTGAGCACCCTGCTGGCTCATATTGAACCAACTATCCACCAATACTCCCAGGTCCTTCTCTGCCTGGCAGCTTTCCAACCACTCATCTCCCAGCCTGTAGCTCTGCTTGGGGTTATTGCGCCCCAGGTGGAGGACCCGGCACTTGGCCTTGTTAAACTTCATGCAGTTGACCTCAGCCCATCGGTGCAGCCTATCCAGATCCTCCTGCAGAGCTTTCCTGCCCTCGAGCAGATCGACACACGCACCTAACTTGGTGTCATCTGCAAACTTACTGAGGGTGCACTCAAATGCCCTCATCCAGATCATCGATATTAAGATATTAAAGAAGACTGGTCCCAGTACTAAGCTGATCACTTTGCTGAACATTTATTGTTATATGACATGAGTGGTGTTTGGAATAGAGTAATGGCAAAAATAACCTGATTATTCTTCCTTCTTGTACAGTGTGGACTGATAGATAAGGCTCTGGGCTGGGGCCTAAGAGCCCTGAGCTTTTGATTAGGCCATTGACTGATCTCAGATGGGTCACTTTCCACTTGGACTGCTTAAGTCTCAACATTGGGAACTGATGAAATTTCTCCCCTGAGAAAGGAGCTTTGATTTTTTATGGATTAAATTGCTTTGCAAGAACAGATTATCTTTCTTTGTTTCCTCTGCTGTATCAAGTATATTTTCTTTCTCATTTTAGTAACTTTTTAGCAATGGTTGCTTTTTAAATCTTTCCTATGCAGCCACATCTAACAATACATTTTCTTTCGTTCCTTTTATACATCAAGTGACCTAGCCTCACAGATCTTGTAAACTTGTGGATATGTAACTTAGTATTTTTTTCTAACAGTTTCCACAAATTCAGTATATCCTTTGATATAAGATTTAGGAAACTGCTTTAAGGTGACAAAAGGCAAATATCAACGTGTTCTCAAATTTTACTGCTTTGTTCCAAAACCACACTTACTATTTGGAATACTGCAGCAATTTCCTGCTGGTACTTGGATCCAAGAACATCATGAGCTATGCAGGTGGTTTCTGTCACACCATCATTCACATTTTTGACAGATTTTGAGTCTGCATAATATTCCCAGATAAATTTCTTAAAGTAATCCGTGCCAGGAAAGTAAAGCTTATGTTCTGCCAGCTTGCTGACACAAACCCTATCTGTGATATCAGCCTTTTGCTTAGTCAGTAATGCAAATAAACCTTCAAATCCCAGGGAGAAATACTGAAGAACCCTGCATGGGAATGCTCTAAAAAGGCTGCATTAGAAGAAGGCCACTACACTTGACCAGGCTGACTCACTAAAATCACAAAATTATGTGCAATTTGTTTTATAATCATCATCTTGCTTGTTTAAATTAAAATATGTATTTATACACTTTAGATGAATTTGGAGTTAAGCAAAATTAACTACCCTCTCCCATCAGCACAGTGCAATCTTTCAAGTTAAGGAAACTTTACAGTGAAAGGACCACTGTCCGTCAATAACTCCTCTTCAGTTGATGCTACAGAAACAAGGGAATTTATCCTGTTTGAGTTCCTTAAAGGACTCTTCACTAATGCCTTTAACTAGGTGTAAGGAATAGTACTGAAATTTCACAAGTCAGCCTCCTACAGGTAGTCTGGAGAAGATGTCAAAGATACAACTGTTCTGTACTCTAAAATAAGATCTAGAATCATGGGAGGTGTTCAGAGCTCTCTCTAGCTGCATACCCCAATGGAAAACTGAAATGAAATCTACCTTAAATTCTAACATTTCTGATACCATGAAATCTAAAAAGACAAATCCACTGGAACTTCTACACTGAACATTATGATGCACAAGGTATCCATTCATTCAATTTTTCTGATATAATAGTACTGAAATGTCTACACTTTGACATAGTCCTTCCAGACAGACAACATATTAACTCATTCTAAAATTTCAGCCTATTTTGAAATACTGTTTTGTTCTTTCATAATTACTAAGCAACAGGACATACTGACTAAGGGATTTAGGGGATAATTTGGGTTAGGACCATTCCTACACCCATCACTTCTACAGAGTTCCAGGTCTTCTTCCTCCCTTATGGCTTCCACTCTTCACCTCTTGTCACTCTTAGAAATTTTTTGTTCCACACCATTTGATTCCTCCATTTTTAATATTTTTAGTATTTTTCCAGCATGAAATTTGGTTTTGGAAGTCCTTGCTTCTAACATACAAGAATGTAAGTTCACAGGAGAGACCTTCAGTTAGAGCTGAACACCACCGGACCAGGTAAGTAAACTCAACTCTCTGCACCTGCTCTGCCTGCATAGAAATAGAGCTCAGATGACATGGAAAAAATAACAGCTGAAATATTAAAATATAACTACTGGTACGAATTAGTAAAAAATAGCATTTATTCATAACACCTTGAAAAAGTTTTCATGTACCCCAAGATTTTTAAACAATTTACTAATGATGTTTATTTGTTGCGATAGTACCTAAAATTTCCTCTGATAAAGACATCTTTGTAACAACTGATATACAAAAAGAACAAAAAGCTGATTCCTATCCCAAAGATCTCATAATGCAACTTAACCAAGAAATTAACAGAAATGAGTGCATTGGTGTGTTACCAAGTTTGGATTTTGTTTTAAACATTCAGTGCAGTGACTACATCCCACAGTAGTTTGCTTATAGTCAGAATCAATTATGTTTGAGTCACTTCTATGAGGTTCAAAATACTGAGAATTTATAGCTATTTTAGGTTAAAATAGACACCTTATTTGTTTCAAGATAATTGCCAGGAAGCATCTATAGGAATGAAAGCTACATATAATTTGCTTGAAAGAGGAGATTAAATAAACATGCAAACTGAACACTAGACATAATTCCTGGATCTCTAGTGTCCCTGTTCAGACAATGAATAAATGACCTACTAGTGTGAAACCGGTTTCTCATTTCAGCAGTCAGTTTCCAATAATGACAAATACGATAGCTAAACAGACTGATTTATTGTCTTTTCTATAGCAGTTACCTCAGCGCGTACAGTTTTTACACAGATGTGATGTATTTCTTACATGTCACTCTAAGGAAGGCAGTTCCAGGAGTCCTGGAGATCAGCCTGCTTAAACAACACACCTGTACTGTGGTGGCTTTTTTGTTGTTGTTTTGTTTTATGGTTTGAGTTTTTTTTTGCATGATTTTCTTTTTTTTTAGTTGATTCAGTTGAAATGATAACTTTCTGAACTTACAGTAATATTTAGCTCATCTTTGAAGGGTGCAAATAGATAATGAATGGTGATTGCACTGATAATTACACTTGCCAGGAAGTGATGAATCATTTCATACTCTCTTGCTGGTCTTATTTTAAAACTAAGAACTTGGCAGTTATCCTTAGGTTATTTTGAGATAAGTCCAAAAAGCTAGAGCACATTTTTCAAGACCAAGGGTTAAAACAGGCACACAGAAAAATGCAACAAGAAAGCAACTGCTCAAAGAAGAGAAAAGGAAAGGAAGAAAAGCCAAGGACAACAAAAGTCCAACAATTTGTAGATATATGGTCTGAAGCTCTACCTAAACTGGCAGAATGTTAAGCTTTCCACAACTGGCACAAGGGGCAAACATGGAATAAATATCTAGAAAAAAAAAATCTGAACAAGAACTAGGAGGAGCTTTAAGCTACAGGATATGATGAAAGAACTGCAGAAACATAATTAAATGTAAGTAGATCTGAGAAAAAGAAAACGGCTGAAAAGATAAAGAGTTGAGTTTGTTTCTTGTGTGAAATAATTACTGCTATGGGCATTTATATCTAAGGGGAATCTTGTAATGGTGGAATTTCTCAACATCACAGACTGAGGCAAGTCTAACAAAAGTGCCTGAAACTTCTCGGCTTAGCCTCTCTCAGAAGTAAAAAGCTTGGAACAAATATCCTAATTGTTACATCAAGCTCTAGCCTTCATTTCTCAATTTTATCTGAGATTTAACTGAAAAATAGGACAAAAAGTCAGCCACTCCTGAGCATGGCTTCTTATGTCCCCCCCACAGCTATGCTCTTCACAGAGGTAAGCTGAAAACAACATGCTCAGAAACTGATTTAGAATAGTTAAACCTATGCGCAGGAGCATTTTCTGTTTTATCCAAATATGGCAGTAATGGACAAGTAGAATCAGCAGGATCTTTTAAAGTAGAAAAAGAAATAAGAAATCTTTTCCTCCCCGTGTTTTCTTCTGAAAGAAAGCCTTTGAGCACTGAGGATCACATGAACACTGAGAGGTGCCTGGAGAACCTTGGTTTGAACATTTTCACATTTTCGTTCTCCAACAGCCACTGAAAAAGAAGGTCTCCGAGAGGCTTAAAAGTAGCAGACAACATTGTTTGATTTTTCCATGCATTGATCTGACAAGAAGAGATTAGAAATTTCAAGCATCTGCTCCTGACCCTGACACAAAAAGACATAAAGCTTCAAGAAAGACCTTGTTTAAAATTTAAAAAAAAAAAAAAAAAAAGTCTTGCTTGTAGTAGGAGTAAATGTTATATAAAATGAGTATTGACAGCCTGTAAATTCACGTATGAAGTGCCCCGAGCCTTTACTGTATTTAAATTCTGTTGTTGGTTTCTTTGTTTGTTTCTGATTATCAGTATTCTGTATTTCACTACATTGGTCAGATTTTGCCTCCTGGAAAGCACCACCCAGCAGCTACACCAGCAGCTGCAATCCAAAAAGCAGAGACACTAATTCCTGGAAACTTCTAAAATATTTTTAGCTGCTGTACTCTAAGTAATAATAATAAGTGCTTATAAGCATAAAACTCATACAGGAGCTTAATGACTTTGCCTTTATCTTTGCAAGGCATTTTTTTTCCTTCTCCCCCCCTATTTTTTCCCTGGGATATTCTGCACTGACAATACCTATCTGAAAGGTGCAGTTTTCACACCTCGTCAGAATGTGCAGTGCCTATTTACTGATTTATTTGCCTGGAGCTATTGATATGTCTGTTAGACTTCAAGAAACAGGTTTGGTATGAACAGGCGCAGAGAAAGGCTTAATGTAACCCAGTGTTTGTACCAGTGTTTTTGGATACGTCCTCTGTTTTGTGCATGTGACCTGTATGTGAATCCCTAGGAATTTCAAACCTCCGCATATGGATTTTTTCAGTTTTAGATTTACTTTATAAGTGTCTTGAGAAAATGTACATCCCAATCACTTCTGTTCTAAGGAGGGCATAAGTATAGTTACATTAATTTCAACCTTTAAAATGAAGAAAGTGTTGAGTGTCCAGGAAGTACTGTAACTTCATGCGTATAATCTGTGTCACAGATAATTCAAACCTCTTTAAAAATATGGATACTTACAAACATGCATTCTGATAACCTACAGAAGAACACAGCCAGAGCCAGAGGGAGTATTTAAGGTGAGAGAAGTGCTGTTATATTCTGTTTCCTTTTACACTCACATATAAATTGTGCTGCTGCCAAATCCCAGGAGTGGGTGTTGGGGGTGTCTTTGTTTTTCTTTTATAGATAGCTCATATATGCACAAAAATAAAAGCTATATTTATCTATACAAACATGGCATGGCATGCCTTAACAAGTTATCCTCTGAAATGCTTAGGATTAGACAGAAAACAAAGGATTGAAACTCGAAGCCTTGTGTTATTGGAGACTTAAATTCACTTCTATCACACACACCTAGCAAGAGAAGCACATGCACAAGAGGAACCTACACATGAAAATGTTCCATGGAAAAAGCTTAAAGGCTTTTCTGTCTTTCTGTGTTACTGTCTTTACCTTTGTATATTTTTGCATGTTCCAAGAACACCAAATATCCAACAACCTCATTCCATACTAGTACACAGCAGAAAGTGCATCAGGAAAGATGTGAAAATAACTGTGCCCCCCCCCAAAAAAAAAAATTAAAAATTAAATAACTACTAGGCTGTCCAGAAGACTACAGAGACAAATATTTGAATGTTATCAAATACTGAAAGTTAATTCCAAATATTACTATGGACTATGTTGAACAAATGCATTTAATTTCAATATAAAATTAAAAAAAAAAAAAAAAAAAAAAAAACATTTTTATTTGGTAAAAGCTATATCAATTACAGTCCCTAGCACCTCACTCCCCAGTCAGTCACAGAGTTCCCAGTCCGCATTAGCACATAAAATATTTTCAGGTACATCTGTGGCATATTTTGATGTTACTTTAGTTTGCAATTTTTGTCTAAACAATCAATCTCATGGCATATTTTTATTATTCCTTTGTGTTTTTCTGCTATTTATTATGAGACTAATGTTATTGCATTTCAGAAAACTGACAGAAAAAAAATGACTAAAAATATTATGTTTTAAAATGTCTTTTACCGTTCAGAAACAGTGAATGAATTTCTCTCCAGACACTCAGATACATTTTTGGTAGATTAAATACGCAGTGCCACTGTCTCTAACGGTTATTCTTACCTTCTTACATTTTGTTAAATAACATAATTCCATTTAATTTATTTCTCCACACATTTTGAAGGTCAATTGATGCTGATGAATGTAACTGATACTGGTTTATTTAACCTCACATATCTAACTGCTCTAAAGCATTCTAAAGTTTGCCTGGAAACAACAATATGTGAAAAAGTGTCACTCAGAGTTATCAGATTTTCAAGGGAAAAATATCACTATTAGTAAGAGGAATTTTCACCCACATCGAAACATACCAGAACAGTTAGTTATGGAAAAAAAGTAATTATTTATTCCATTTTATCAGCCAAAAGCATAGTTATATAAGAATCAGCAATAAGGAGATAATAACTTTGTGATACATGAAGACAGCATGCTTATCATGACATTTACGCCTACTTGGATGTTCATCTGGGAAAGTCATATTGACAGCTTAGAACTTGAAGCAATCATTGTTCCCAGACACATACAATTAATAGCTAGACAGTAATGAGATGCGAGTCTATGTGAGTATGCAGAGAGAGGAAGGTTGTGATGTACACACTTATATCCATTATAAAAACTTCTTATTGTAAAGACTGTGTTTATTAGCCAACCAGTATAAACTATAATAAAATATGCATTCTGTGAACCCTATGTATATCTAGTTTTCGAGCCTGGCCACTGTCCAGAATCTTTTTGTAGGATGGGAGGGAAAGAGAGAGAATTTGTTCCCCCAGTGTGTTATCATGTGTCAAGAGTTGGACTTGATGATCCTTAAGGGTCCCTTCCAACTCAGGATATTCTATGATTCTATGATTCTATGATCATCTTTAACTATAGACCACTATCGCGTCTTTGCAAGGTGGACTTGGGCAACTCCCATTGCAATAAATCACCTGAACAAGTCAATAATATTTCTCTAGAGAAGAAACACTGATTGTGTAAAATATCAGAAAAGTAAATGACACACAAACTTCACAACGTTGTAACAGCTTACAGTTCCATAAGAGCCCTTTAGAATTTGGCATTTCTTATGGAATGAGAATTTTAAAATTGTAATCAGTTTTACCAGAGACTCTGAGTTTTTGAGGACATAGAAGTCAGTACACAGAAACAGAGTCTTATACAGGCATACAGGGGGAAAAAGAATAATCAGAAAGTGCAGAGGAAAGCAGAAGCAGAGATGAGGAAAATTCAACATAACTTGCTAGCCAAGTGATTTGGTTAGCTGGTTTTGCTACTTTTAACACTGAAGAAAAAATAATAAGTTGGAAGCCTACTTAAAATGAAGAGCTAGCAAAGAAATCAACCCCGACATTGCAGATACTGGAATTATCAACAGTGTGTACCCCTCAGCTCTAAACCTCGCTAAACATCAACTCTGATCCATCATTTGGTACATGTGATATCATCCAGAATCAACAGTAGTCATAGAGAAACAGAAATGCATCCCATGGTAGTAACATGAATGTGTTCAACTCCTTCTTCCTTCCTCCCTTCCTTCTCTAAAGCAAAATGTTGGGCCTATAAACAAATCCTGGTAATTTGGTGTTAAGATATATATTTCATATTTCCAGTATATATTTTGCTTGATCCATTTTTTGTCTTAACTATTCTTTTTAAGTAACTTGTAATACTTCCTGCATAACACAGCGATGAACCATCCATCCAGTAAGTGCATATTTCCTGAAATCCCATTAACATAAGCTTATCTGAAGTGTATTAGCTTCACTTACCAGATTTTACTCAAGTACCTCAGCACCACCAATCATTCAAATATATTTCTCTGAGATGTGAAGGGTTAAAAGGAACTCTCTTGCTAGCAAAACGCAGTGACATGACCAAAACTAAATCAACTGAAACTGAAAATTAAGCCTTTATTTTAGGTCAGATACTAGTTTTCTCTCAGAACTAGTTCTCAGAACAGGTATTTATTTGTTTAAAAGTCCCAGAAACAAAGTTTTTGTGTTACTGGAGCTCACATAACTACTTGAATGTCTGAAAAGTTGTTTGATTGCCATCTCTACAGATAGAATAAGCAATACAGTCATAATGAACTACAGAGAGGAAATACTACATTCACAAGAATATGGAACAATGATCTAGTTTATACCAAGTAACTGCAACTAAGTGTGAGTTTAGGACTTTGCAACCTAATCATTCTGTAATAAGTAGGACAAAGCTATTGATCAGCATTTTTAAGAGGAGAGTGATTTGAGCAGCATATTGTTTAGAAGCTGACTGATCCAAAATGACTAGCACCTGCAGAGGGGGGGAAGCTAGC